GCTCCTCTCGTCATGTCAGCGGCCGCAGCAGTGCACACTTCGCATATGTATTCCTGATAGCGCATACATTCCTCTTAACTGCAAGCATAGATTCCCGAGAACTTTAAGCTTATTTTCCTAATAACACTGAGCGAGGATGGATAGACAGTGGCTCAGTGTAATGCCCCAACAACGTTGTATACTGCAAGCTGCCTCCACAGTGCAGGGAGAACTCAAGTATAAGCACGTGGGTTTATTTCAGTCCCTCTCTGCTATCTGCTAACAGAGAGATCAGTGCCTTTTGTTGTGGATTTGAGCTGCTGCTTTGAGCTGTGGAGAAGGCCACCCAGCTCCTCAGCTTGCCTTGACTCGCAGCCACCTTGCTAAGCTGCCCACCCTGGCCCTCCAGCTAAGCCAGTTGTAAATAAAACCAGCTAGGATTTTTTTTTTTTTTTTTTCCTAATAACTTTGACAATGCACCTCACACCCATTCAAGTGAGCAACTTTGAAGTCATCTTGAATTTCTGCAGGATTTTCTCTTGTGTCAGTTTCTGTGTCGTTTAGTAAGCAAATAGATGATTTGGCATGACGCTAAGCTGGCAGCACTTGAACCAGAGACAAAGCCTCAGTTGATCCCCATGACAGAGAAGAGTATAGTTCAGGCTACCACCCCAAACTCTTTATCACACGGATGTTACAGATATACAAGTCTGTTTAGTAGCAATTCCTACAGGCACAGAGCTACAATGGACTTGTAGCCAGTGTGACTCCATATTGCAGTTTGACCAAAAACATAAGGAAAGAAAGAACCAAAGTCCCAGTAAGAGGAATACCAGCAGGGTTTTTCCTTTATGGGAATACAGTTTTAGGGGCTCTGAAGACAAAATGGCTGTTCTGTATTTGAACGCAGGTGAGGGGAGCTGAGACCAGCCCATAAAAAGCTGGGCAAGCCACAGTATTCCAAGGGTTACAGGATGTTTTCCTTATTTGAAGTGCTTTGAACCTGCATTGCTAGGAATAGAGTGCATGGCTAAGTGATGAGACCTGTGCAGCACACAAGAGGGAGCGGAGCAGCACAGCGGGTTAATGTGGCCTTTCCATAAGGGAAATTGTCTCTCACCTGGGTTGAAATTGTGAGCAGATGACAGATCAACATGAGTTTGCTATGTGGCTCATTGGAGGGCCCCAGGGACATCTCTCAGCCTTACACAACCTACTTCACAGCACATGGTCCCACTGACAACCAGTGCAGGACAGGGAGAGGACAGGATCAACACAAGGTGTCAGTGACCACATATACATTGGCAAAGCCCTGCTGAAGCCGCAAGGCTGGAATAGCCAAGCTGATTCCTCAGGAGAGGAATAATGTACAACCAGCCCTGCCCATTGCTAAACAAAACTCTTCATCTCATTTTCATAAACTGTAGATTTTTATCCAAATTAGTTCTACAACGGCTTTTAAGAACAATTCAAATACCCTAAAGGTATAGTCCCAAGGGTTTCAGAAAGTAAATACGATGTTCTTTTCTATTTAGTCAACAAGTGTTGTCTTTTATATTTTGCATGCATGCAATGCAATGCAAAGTAAAAAAAAAAAAAAAAAAAAAACACAAAAAACCCTCACAAAAACCCCCTATGATCTGTCAAGACCTGACTGAACATATAGAACTTAGACTGCTTTAGCTGTACACCCATAATTGAAGGAACAGCTGCTTGGTGTGGGCACTATTACATCAGAAAAAAATACATCTCTCCTATACTGAAAACAAATTAGAGGCATCTTTAGAAGTGAAACCCAGGATAAGAACAATACCAGAGAGACACAAGTGGAAGTATTTGCTCTGTCACAGATGACTTCTGTGACTTTTGTCAGGTTAAGCTGTCTCCCTGCATAGGTATACACTATTTGGAAAGACTGCTGTGTGGAGCAGCTCAAATGCAGTGTATGCCACCCCTCCCAGTCCTCTCACAGCCAGCCTGCCAGCCTAGGCAGGCTCACAGGGTCCCCTAGCCCACAGCTATGCCCAAAAGCATGGCACCCTGCAAGTTTCTAGCCTGCAGTGAGCAAAGGCATGTCTCCATCAAGCTCCTTCCACAGCTTCCACATCTGTAACGCAGAGATGACAGCACCTCACTGTGTCCATGGAACCATGCAATGACAAACACCTTTAAAGATTGTGGTGCTTTCAAATAAAATGGTAAAGGGAGGACATATAAGAACCTTAGATAGAATACTGTAACCTTACTATTACCTGGGTCGACATAAGTACATTCAAAGAAAAGTCACGTTCTTTCCTCCAGATAACATATAACAGCAACACAAATCGTGCAGGTCACGGCACAATTCATTGCAAAGTAAATCAGAGTGACAAAATACACCATGCTGAGAAGGCACCATTTATGTGCATCAGATAGTTCTGGATAAAGAAATTTATAGTGAAATGAGACAAACAGAATGTCAGAGCAATCTCCACAGGGCTCAGTTCAGCTACTTTTGAATGTTGTACTTCTATTTCTCTTCAGTTTTGCATTCTGAAGCTTCTGTGTATGCTTGCGCAGGGAATACTCCCCATGTACATTTTGGTTATAAATAATGGGTACTGACTGGACTTTAAATCTTTTCTATTTCCAGAACCAAGGCGTGAGGCTCCATAAGTGCCCCCAAGTGGCTTCAATTTCTGTCCTGAACAAAAGATATCAAAAGAAATGCAGGAATGTCTGCCCTAGAAAAAAACATGCAGAAGAAAGAGAAAGATACATGCAGTAAAGATGAGACAGTAAGTGACTGTTTCTAGGAAAACAAAGAGAAAAAAAAAAAGGTTGAATATAGATGACTTAACAGCTTTTAATGCTGTAAACTAATGTAAATTAATATAATAATTGTAAACCAAGCCGTGTTCCAGAGCTGATTTCTTCATTTCGGGGAACACTAGTCATCCTGCAGCAGGATCAGGAACTTTGATCTACTGTTTCTCATTTCCAAATACACTTTTCCTCCCAACATCCTGAAGAATTCCAGTAAGTGAAATATTGTTAACAGCAGAGGCATTACTACACAGTCAGAGATGGCATGTAATTATTTCTTAATAGTACAGAACTATCAAACTATCACACATGATTCATTTTCAAGCTTGTTTAAAAGATGCCGGATGTGTATGCCTATAAGCAGTCAACCCCTTGGGCTTAAAGGTTTTTTCCTAAGCAAAGTCATGAACTGTACACTAACTTACCCAGAAAGACAGGGCCAATGCCAGGTATCAAAAAGAAATACTATTTGGCACTTCTATTTCCACTGGCCAAGGAATCAATGACAGAAGACATAAGGCCTGACTAAATATAGATTGAAACTGTAGCATTACCATTCTTTCGTTTCTGAGATCCAGGGTGCACTACAGGCTAAATTGGCTTTGCATTTCCATTAACAACAGTTAATCCTATGACACTTTTTATGAGTATCTGAAATCTTCAGTTTCTAGATAGGGAAACATAATGCAGCACTGACTGCTCTGCGGACATCAAAAGGCAGAGCTCTTATTTGAGCTCAGAGGACACCCAGTCCCTACCTTCTGTTCAGAGCACTTCCTCCATCCCCTCCCCCCTTGCATGCACTAGCAAAGAAGTTTGCAGCTAGCCTTGCTCTGAGCAACAGGTGGGACTAGGTGACTGCCAGACATCTCTTCCAACTGAGATCATGCTATGGTCCTGCGATCCTATGAAAATGAATGTCTATTACATCAAGAGGTAGTAAAAAACCCCTGAACTTTACCTGTTTTAGGAGACAGGCAAAAATCAAATTAGAGAAATACACGCCCCAAAAGTTTATGGTCTACACTAACCACTAATGGACAAGCACAGCTGAATTAGATGACCATTGCTCGACTGGGAGACACATCCACCTCCCTGAGCATCACAGCCTCTTGTAATTTCCTAGTCTTTCATGGATTACCTCTTTGCTTGATTTTCCCATTGCCCCCATAATTCCTCTGGCTTTTAAATTACTAATTACACTTCACATGGTTATTTCTACATTAAAAAACAAAGGAAGCTTAATTGCATGGACAGTATGAGATTGTTTTCTTCCCAGATACTATTGGTTTTCTGCTCCAAACCCGTTAAGGATAAAGCAAGTATAAACAGAAACGTTTTATCCAGCTGCCTAGGAGGGTTCCAGATTGGCTGACAGCAGAGGTTTGGCAGGGTAAAACACAGGTTTATTGAGGATTGTATGTAGTCAGTGCTAATAAACAGGTAGACCTGTACATTTTTTATTTCTGCAATGTTATAACCAGTCATATTACCAGTCAGACAAGTATTAACCCACTGTTTTACTGATCACAAGCTAAATGCACTTCTTTACTAATGAAATGCCTTCTCTTAATGCATTATTTTATTATGCTCTAATGTACTTGAAGATTTCCTAGAGTCTAGCTCAGACTATATGCTCGCATCATGCCCATTTGCCTGTTTGTCCTAGGGTTTCTAGAATTTTTACCAGGGAATAGTCTCCAGTTTTCCACTAGTTTCTTGGCCTATCCATTTGAAATCCTCATTGGCCAAAGGCCTACAAATAGAGCTGCTGGAAAGGTAACACTGCTTCAGTATCTCATACAACTGCATACTGTGTCCTAAAATCCAGGCACTTTAAGACATAATGATACTCCACTGAAGTCACACAATTGCATTTGCAGTAATCAGGCGTCTCAACTGCTAAAACAGAATAAGTGGATAAAAAAAAAAAAAAAAAAGATATGCAATACACTAATCAGCTACAGAAGGAAAAAAAAAAGAAAAAAAAGAGGCCAGTTTGGGAACAAGTAGAATTACTTGCTAATCTCTTTTTTTTTTTTTTTAAATGATTAGGCAGTGCCGAAACTTCCAGTCCCACCACTGCAACAGACCTTACACATGTACCTACAGTGCATGAAACACCTGGTGCCAGAGGAGCAATTTAGAAAGACCAAGACCATCGTGGAGGAGTTTGGAATTGCAGGAGGCCTAGGGGAATCCTTGCAGCAAATCCTCGAGGAAAGAAGGGAAAAGACAACAAACTGGGTAAGAGAATGCAGATAAGAAAAATAATTGCTGTGTTGGATGATTCTCATTTACAAACTGTGATGTTCTATATGTGATCACCTCTTTCTTTCCATGGGTTAATGCAAAAAGGGATCACATCAGATTCTACCAAAGGGAATTAATATTTCAGACATAATAGGCTAGAATTTTCAAATGATGTCAAAATCCATGTCCTGGTTATGTTTTCAGATCGTTTGTTGACATAAATGAGGGAATTCATGCACCTTAGGTGCACACATGCAGGTGTCAGCCCTACCTGTAGGAAGCACTATATTACATCCTTTTTGGAGATAATTTCTTGCTTTCCCTTTAATCACAGGATTTAGAGTTTTTATTAAAATGAAAATGCTTTCTGATAGAGCTATGGAATCTCTATAAAATATCTAGCCAAAGCTCTGATCCAGTCAAATTATTCTGGAATGGAATACTTCAGGATAGGAATTTCTTTTTTTAAATTAAACTATTATTTGCCAGTCATTATAACACCATACCAATGTAGTTACTCTGAAGTATTTACTTTGCTGAATATGCACACGAACACACACCGATACATACATATAAATATCTATCACATAGAAGACACTGAGACCTCAGCCTTTTAAAAAGTCCAGCTTTCTGCTTCCCAAGACAGGAAAATTAAGTCAGCCGTAGATAAGATAGATTTTATCATTCCACAAAGTCACAGTTCATCCTGCCTGCATTAACCGTGTTAGAATATGACAGCTGAAAACTAGAAACACTGATTTTATTGAAGTCCTTCCATCCCAGCAAGGAAGAGAGACACTGAATAGTTTCATGGATTCAGTGAAATCATGCAGGTTGATGTCGGTCAAGTGTCCTTGACCCTTAACCTTTCAGTTGTGTGACCCTCAAGAAAACTCCATCAAATTGCTGCTATAGTCAGAAAAAAAGACTACAGTACTGGCAGTTCTTTTATTTTAAAAGCAGTGCTTAATTTCTGAACTACTTGTTGCCACAGTCTGAGAGCTTCACTAAATGCTGCCCAATCTCATTTTGTTATTCTGATCATAGAACTTGATGGGTTTGGTGGCTAAATTAACCATCGCTTAAATAGTGTTTCTGATACCAAATAATACTGTTCCAGGAGACAACTGTTCATTTAACCACTTATAGCATGAAAATTACACAGGAAGGATGTATAAGCGGTTTCTGAAATGTCTCAACTTTAAATACTGATTATTAGAATTGAATACATGATTCTTAAGACAAACAATGAACGTTTTTATTTGGAATTTAACTTGCCAGGAGTACAGCTCTAGCCTGTTCTCCTGAAGACTCCAGAGACTGTGGGGGAAGCATCTGTTCTAGCAGCAATGAAATATCTCAGAGGAGAACTTTTTCAACTGATGCATGCATTCGTAATTATTTTTGCATAATTTTGTTGTTGTTTATAGTTACTATATGCAAAGCATGCCCACTAAACTCAGAAAGACCATTTGATCTTTTTATGAAAGCCTCCATTTTCCAAAAGATTCTCCAAACTCTGCTCAGATGTAAAGGAATGTGGTTACCATACATCTCTGTTTCCAATAAAACCAGTTAGAAATTTAATATCTGTGTCTGTCTCAGTCAAGCATCAGTAATCTGCATTTGTGTCAGTGGACACAGAGAGAATTCTCCAGGGGTCCTACCCATATGCCAGTATCTGGAGGACCAAACCATTAGGCTCAGGAAATTCTTTACCCACTCTGTCTTGCTACAGGACAGTATCTGATGGCTAACAACAGAGCACCTTGGCATCAGTGCCAACTATCTGAGGCCCCCTGAGGAAGGCCATAGCTAGTAGAATTCTGCCCCTCTCTTAAATACATCCCAATCACTATTCAAGATTCAGCAGTTAGCATGTTGTACTCAAACGTTTATTTTTTTGTTTTAGAGAGAGAAGCAAACGACGAAATACCCAAGCCACCACAATATGGAGCTTGTTTACTTTTTAATGGAACACACTGTAAATTGCCATTGATTGAAAAATAGATTTACGGAATTGCGGCTGATTTCAGCTGAGCTGAGGTCACAGAGCCCAGACTGAAAATGCTCAGCAGCTCCTTTAATCAGAGCCCATGCCTGACACCAGGAGCACCAAGTGCTCTCCCCTCACCCCCAGACTGCCTTTTTGCATGTTGTTCATAGCTTTAAGACTTCATGTCCCCTTCCCTTAGGTGTTTAACTACTGGCTGGATGACATGTACCTCAACAACCGGCTAGCTCTTCCAGTCAATTCCAGCCCCGCTATTATCTTTGCTCGTCAGTATTTCAAGGACGTAAATGACCAGCTGAGGTAATGTACTACGGCTTTGCAGCTTTTGCTAAATTAAAGGATATTTTAAATGTACTGCTTTTGCAAAAAACCAATCAACTTTCATTAAACAATAAAAGCTGTAATCATGAAATTATTTCCTACTAGGTCTGCTGACTGAGGACAGTGTTTTTGGGGTTACTTATACTGATATTCAGAAATGAAAGTGTCATTACTATTACACTTGCTGCATGAAAAAAAATGCCATGGCATTTATAATTTTTAAAGGAATATTTGCAAAGCTTTTCATTGCACAATTCATGTAAAACATTTTGTGATGTAAAAAAGAAATACTGATTTCTGACATATTGTTTAAAGGAAAACAATCTTTAACATGCCATCACTACGACTTGTAGCCACCCTGCAAACAGAAAAGGCCGTGCTGGCATCAAATTGTCCCACTCAGGTGTCCAAAAGGGCACTAGAAACACAGGGGATCTAAGAATAATAATTCAGAATTAATTCCTTCCCAAGAACACTGCTTCCTTCAGGCCCATCCTTCCCAGCCCTGAAGTGACCTTTCTCCTTTGAGCTGTTGTGGGCATTTACAATAATTTAAAAAATGAAAAGGCAAGCAAGTAGGCAAGAACAGAATATACCTCCCCAGACACCTTTAAACAGGATTCTATTCTTCAGCCTTTGCCAAAACACTGTCTCCTTTTAAAACAGTAAACCAGATCAAATATACCCTTATATAGTGCAATTTTCACCTTTGCTTTTAGCACTCTTTAGCTGCTCGTTTCTGCAAGAATTAACTACATGTGAATTTATATTATAAAACAGCCAGAACTTTCAAGCCAATATGTGTTATTTTAACGTATTGCATAGACAGCCCATGTATCTTTTTACTTTACTTTAAACATAACTGTAACACATTTATCGTGCACACAGCTTTCGAAAAACCTCCACTTTGCATTTTCTAATGCACGTGCTTTAACAAGGAAATATTTTTCTCGGAGCCTCCCATTCAGACACAGTGCAAATGAGCGGTGTCAGGAAATAATACACCTGTCCGCAGCTCTGCAGAAAGGATATCTGCTTAGGACAGGAAGTACTCTAAGAAATTGGACAGCTTATGAGTATTGATATTGAAACCCATGTTAAGGATTCTATTAAATATTCAGCCTCTGCTCCCATTCTCTAAATAAATGCTTTCAGGCTTCCTCTTGTGGTAGTCTGTTTAACCATTTGAAGGGACCATCTCTAGGATTTCTTATTTCTCTTGACATGAATTAGTTTAGGTTTTGGGTGGGGGCAAGGGGCTCTTCTTGCCAATCCAGATGACTTTCCTTATCAGTCATCAGTCATTCAGGCTCCCCTCTGTCTCTCACAAACAGCACAGTGTTGCCAAATGACAAAAGACTGATGTCATTTCTATCTGCTACTTGCAGGTTTGCCGCCAATCTCATTTCAGGAGTTCAAGACTATAAAGCTTTACTGGACATGTAAGTAGCTTGGAAGGAGAGCTGCTGCTTGAGTGTCCACAGGGCTTTTTGATTCAAGGGTGCTCTAACATGCCCAAAGTCAGGCTGCATTGCACCTCTCCACCATTTGGAAGGGCTGGGGCTCCAGCATGCTTCAGGGCAAGTGCTTCAGCAATTTTTTAATACACTCTCTGCTTTATTACTGCAATCTAACAGGTTGGAGAAGGATCCGTTTTGATGCCCGGTAGTCATCACTGTTGCATGCACAGTGCAGCCCAAAGGACACACGTGATCTGCCTAACAGAGTATTGAGAGCACACCAGGAAGGCTGTGCTCCCCAGACCCAAAGAGCAGCAGCACTGCAGTTACACAGCCTGCACACCTTCCCTGGCACCGGACACCTGCCAGGGTTCTGCACCCTCTCCATGTACTGCACCCGCCATTTACAACATCAGCCCCTCCACCTCCCTCCCCCTAAAAAAAGAAATAACACATCCCACCAGGAGGAGGAAGTTCAGTAGCTAGTAAAAATAAGAAGGTATTTATGCCATTGTTACTTTCTGTGTATAAACACAGGGACAATCCATGATTCTTTAAGTCATGTATGATTATTTAAGCTCATAGAAGCTTTTTACATAGCACTTAACCTCACCTAGTATGTTTCAAGTTTACTGATGAAATCATTGCTCCCCAAAGAATAGAAACAGTGGAGAGCCAAGCACAGAAGACACTGCACCATAGTAGGGAAGGGTCATTTTCCTGTCTGGAAATCCAAAAAGCCTATGTGATATGGTTTGACCATTTGGGTGAGGAAGGCGAAGTCCTTATCGGAACAAGTTTCTATCATCTATGAATTAGGTAAAAGAAAGAGGAAGAGGCAATTTGATTTTTCACTTCAAAAGTCTGACAGCTACTCAGAAAGTATGGAAGAGGTACTTAAGAACAAGGGCTTTTGTCCAAGATATGCCATGCAGCTGCATACACCAGTACTGGCATGCTGTGAAGCACTATTGCATACTAATGCAGTTTGTTGCATCTTTATGTGACAGCATCTGAGATAAGATAAAGAAACCACGTTGTTCAAACATAATTTAAATTCTTCTTATTTTGACCTCACTACTCTAGATCCAAAGACTCCTGTGATCAGATTTACTTGCCTTAAATCAATAATCATTTAAATCCTCACTACTGTGTCCTCACATTGTTATTACTGTTTGCTTATCACCCCTCGTGTATAATTATGAGGACACAATAATTGTAACATTTTCAGTTCCTTGTTGCTGTTAAGGACTTCTACCAGCGAGCGTACTGTTAGCTTCTCTTGAATCATCCCATATGCAGATGCACAATATTCCAGCCCAGACACAGGAGTTTAGTTTTAAATATGCATATATTCCATGCAGCTGCCAGGACTAACCATTTCAAACAAAGCCTAACTTGCTCACATAAAAGAGTTACAAAATCTTAACACAGACATCTCCTAAATCAGTACAAGATTTTCTGGTGCCATCAATCAGAGTTAATAACCCCTTTCTTAAGTGCTATAATTACAGGTTGATTGTCTTATCTAAATCTAATCTAGTGTTATTCCGCTATTTTCAATCATCATAGATGCTTTTTAAAACACTGTTAAATATACAAAGATTTCTGCATTATGCAAAATGTGGAAGAAGAACACTAATAACCCTTTTTTGCTGATAAGGAACAAAAAAATTTAAGTACCTGTACAAGGAAATAAGTGATACAGAGAGTTTGAAAGCCAGGAACTAAAGTGAATATCCCTGGTTTAGAACTGCAACAGTTCTAAAGAGACAGTTAAACATGATAAACTAGCATAAAATGTTACCCCAGATCAGGTGTACGACAGTAACCCTCCTTCTGTGCTTCTTTGCCCCTGCCACTCTGGCAGGCTAGAAGCTTAGTCCTCTTTTGCTGAGGGAAAACCTCTGCACCACAAGATCTTCTTCCTCCTGTGGTCTTTGCAGCCTCTCTCGAGCAACAGCATCATTATTTCCTGCTGCAGTGTCAGTGGGATATTTTACAATCCATAATCATAACTGTGATAACTTTTTTTTTTTTCCTAGCCACTAAAGCCTTTTAAGAAGTGTTGTTTTCACAGGCCTTCCAATAAAAAGGGAATAGGTTTTCAGACCATAGGTCTAAGTAAAGACTAGCCCACAAGCAAGGCTCCGTGGAAAACAGAAACACCCTCTGTATTGCCCCAGTCATTCCTGTTCATCAGGCAAGGCCCTCACACACTCTCTAACCACTCTGCACAGTGCTGGGCCACTGTGATTTGCAGTGAATGTCATCCGTACTTTTTTCCAAGGTGCTATGTCTTTTCCAGCTGTTCTGCTGACTTCCGTCCTGGCAAGCTTCCAGGGTCCCGTCTAGGCAAGCTTCCCACGCACATTGCAAAGCTGCTTGTGACCTGCTATTCCTTCCATTTCCACTAGATGATAATGTAATTGCTTAATGAATATGCATGAAGATGCCAGCAATGATGTATTTAACTTTGGGATGGGAATTCATCTATTTCCCTTATACCGTAATCTCATTTTATTATTCAATTTGTGTTATAGCTGATCTAATTGTAACAGAACAAAGGACAGATTAGATTTCTTTTCCTTTCTGTCTCTCTCTCCCCTCTTTTCCCCTGGCTTTGTTTTTCTCCTTCTCTCTCTCCAGCCATGCTTTACCTGTTGATTTTGCTCGTGGACAGCTGTCTGGTCATCCTCTCTGTATGAAGCAATACTATGGACTCTTTTCTTCCTATCGTCTTCCAGGACATACCAAAGACACCCTTGTGGCCCAGAAAAGCAGTGTAATGCCAGAACCAGAGCACATCATTGTTGCTTGTAACAATCAGGTAAATGAGCGTTCTTTTTTAATTCCTTTCTGTATTTCTTAGTTTGCTTAAATTCACTCAAGAAGAGCCTAATTTAATCATGGTTCAGAAACACAATTACCGTGCTATGTATGAGCTCACTTCTTACCAAGCATTCGCTGTCAATATTCCCAAAAAATGCTTCTGCAGCATTTTTGTCCTTGGCCCACATTATGTTCCAAGTACAGTGATGCAGAAAGGAGGAATGTGGCAGAACTCATTTGCTTTCTCATTCAAACAAAAATGTTTACTAAACAGAGATGAAACCACAGAAAGAAAAATGTCATTAGAGTGCATTTGCTGGAAATGCTTTTCTCTTGACAGTCAAGTATTGGCACAAAACACACAGCATATATACCACGATCCCATGTAGGGGGGGACTAAGCTATGCCTGAAGAAGTTAGCACAGGTGCAGGCGGAAATACTGAAGCATTAGAGTGAATCTGCTCCAACCAATAAATGCTGTCAAGCAGCAAAGTATATTGGCTGGGCAGAGTACCTTACAGCCCAGCTTAACTATTTGCAGTACTGGAGCCATGCCTGCAGGCCCCCTTGGAATGAAGGGGTAGATCCCAGTGGTCCCTTTTCCAGGAAGTCCTGTTCTTCACCTTAATGGGAAGTTCTCTAGATTCTCCAGGTTATTTTTAAACAAGTAATGCCATGGAAATTATTTACGTACTTCCAGATTTTATCTCTTCAGGGTTTTTTTAAGCTTATTCAAATAACGTATCTTTTATTTGAGCCCAACACACAATACAAGTCCCCTAAAGCAACTGGCATTACACTGGTGTAAAAACACAGGAGGGGTGAGCCTGGGGACAGTCCCCAGTGGTTTTGTGTGCTCCATTGCCTGCAAGCCTGGCTCTCCAGGCGGGACTTCAGCATCTCAGCACCTACCGAGGCGAAAGCAAAATGTTGGACCAGTAAGGGTCCAGCCCATCTGTGACTGTTCTTCTGACTCCTGTCATTTTTTTGCAGTTTTTTGTTTTGGATGTTGTCATTAATTTCCGTCGTCTCAGTGAGGGAGATCTTTTCACTCAGTTACGAAAGATAGCCAAAATGGCAGAGAACGAAGAGGAAATGCTGCCTCCAATTGGCCTGCTGACAACAGATGGAAGAACAGAGTGGGCAGAGGCCAGGACGATCCTTATGAAAGGTCAGCAGCAGCAATCCCAGCTTTCTTCATCATCTTCCTCCTCACCATCATTGCCTTTCTTTGCTGAGAGTGAACATTACAGCAAATATAGGGCTGAATGTGTGACCTCACTGCTGAATTTTTCTAGCAGGAGGAAACTCAATACCTGTAAGCGTTGACATGTCTGTAACCAGGGAAGCAGCAGATAGGCTTGACCCTTTGGCTGTCTATGTTTAAGTGTTACGCCATGTAAATAGCTCTCACTCCATTCTCCGGTTTTCATGACATAAATTCTATTACATCAGATTTCGTGATTCGTCTCTTTCTTCACATCCATTTTGTACCAATACGAATTAAGTATCCTCTTAGCTTTTGGCAACTATCAGACATTTTTCATCTCATCTAACAAAGGCATCTGGAAGTTAAACACCTATTGAATGTAGCTGTGTACTCTCTCTTTTCAATGGAGAAAAATAGAAAGTACCAGGGCTGATTCATCTGAATCTTAAGTAAGCATCTAGGAAAGGGGACACCGATTATTATCTGGAGATAGTTCTCCCTCTCTCATAAAAACAGGCAGCATCTAGCTGTCTTCGACTCTGGACTCAAATGCCTGACTTTGAAACGGATGAAAAAAGTGTGGGATTAGTCAACTCTATCACTTCACACCTCATATATTCCACCCTGAAGCAAAGTGATGTAAATGCCCTCTTTTTGCCATTTTAGATAACTTGTGTATTCATTTTTCCCTTCCTGAAAAAAAGTTAACTCATCTCTTTATCCCCATGTCATGGTTTAACCCCAGCTGGCAACTAAGGACCACACGGCCATGTGCTCACTCACCCCATGGCAATGCTACAGAAAATATTCCTGTTTTACCAATGCCCTGGAATATACAAGAGTCATCAATAGTCTCAAAATATGATTACCATCCCAAGGAAGATATTCCCTTTTTTAATTCAAATTTATCTGTGCTTATAATAACTTTCTATAGATAAATACACATACACAAATCCTGGCTACTATTACAGCATTATTATGTGGTACCAGTCTTATCTTTAGGCTTCCCCTCCCCATCTTTTCTTTTTAAGCAGGGGAGAAAAGAAAAAAACAACAAAAAAAAAGATTCCATACTTAAACACAGAGATAGACACCTTATCATTTATTTTCATGTCATGCTTTTAATTAAAACAGTGAATAGCTCAAAACCTGCAGCAAAATCATCTTTGTAAATCTACATCATCCTAAAGAAAAAAAAAGACAAATCAGCAACAACCAGCAGAACCATCTCTCCTAAGAACTAACTCTCCTTGGTACAGGAAGTGAATTCTTACTGCTATAGGGACTGCTGTCCCATGAATACCATATCTGAATTTGATTCAGAACTGTCTTCTCCTATTTTCCTTTTTAAAACAAAACCCCAACTAACCAAAAGCTGACTGGCCAATTCAATGCAATTGTGTGCATTAGAAAGGAAGGAGGACAAAAAACATCTTGCAGGGCTTTAGGCTTGTTCTCACACTTCTCCTCTGCTTTAGCTCTTTCTGGAAATATTGATTTTCCATCCCAAGTCATGGTTCATGAGTTCTTGTGCAGTTCATTGCCTGCGTTACATGATAATTTTTGCAGTGTTTGATCAGCTTTCTGGACATGTCTGTTTCCTTCTGTAAGGGCATTTCCCCCTTACTTTTCTGTTTCTAGCAGAGCTTAATTTTATTCACTCTAATACCTAGACTCAAGATACCCTGAAGCCGCATGTCAGAATAACAGCTTCCTATCTGTCAAAGATGTGTGGGGAGCAGTCACAATGAAATGTATATAAACCTATCAGACAACATAAAGCAGAATGCTGAGCAAGCTGTGAGCAGTTTGTAAATCACTAACCAAGCAGTTTTCCCTTGAAGGTGCCTGTCCACAAATACCAGCAGCTGATGTATATGGGGCAACTTCCTTTCACAAGGATCTTTTCAGCCTTTGCATTGATGTACCCAGACAATCAATGGAATAAATACCACAATTACAGTCAGCCCTTCAAGTGTCAGATACTAGAAGACCTTTACAGCCAAGAGGACAGGGACATGCCTTCTCCCTTATAAAGCTTCTGAATGATTTGAAGACAGTTCATAGGGACACCAGTGTCTCACATGTTGTAGGGCTGCACAGATAACTGGCAGAAAGCTCAACCTATCTGATTGCCCTATCAATTACAATCTCTTGGCTCAAGTCTTTGCAGGAGCTGGCAGGAACACCAGGTGCCCTCCCTAGAACTCTGCTTCTGTGGGCAAGGGAGGACAACATACTGCACTCCACCAGCTCCCCACGCAGCCTCCAAGAAGCCAGGCTGGCCACCCCTGTCACTCAGGCCCATGGCTGCCAAGTCTCCCTTGCAGGAGCCACCAGACAGCAGTAGAGTCGCTTACTGCAGCCTGCAAGAGGCCACAGCTCCCCCTCTTCCTTCTCAGCCACTGCTACCATTTGCCTCTTCTCCTTTTGACACCTTTTGCATTTCTTGCATGTTTGAGTTCTTTTAGCAAAAACATGTGCTTATTAATACAAGAACACAAAAACATCGGCCCTGCTGTTCCTTGTCCAGAAAAGGGTTTTAATGGGAGAATAGCACAAGCACAGTATATGCCCTGCTGTTCTAGAGTAGAATACTGCAGCACTGCAGGAATAGCGTGAGTTCCAAAATTCTTTATTTTCTACCTGTCCTCTCTGTAACTGTTATACATAAAATAAGTAAGCATTGCTGGCTTTAAGAGTAAAATAGATCTATTTTGTAATACAATTACTTCAGGGAAAGGCAGAAAAAGGAAGTAGGTATTATTGAATCACATGAAAGATACACAGAGATATTGCAAAAGTTAACACACGAATGAATGCCTTGGTGTAACATTTCCTTGCACCGAGACGTTCTGCTGCTGAGAGAGCTCTGCAGACACCAGCTCATTACAGAGTCAGGGTCAGATCTTCAATGCTCTCCAAGGCAGCAGGGTTCCCCAGCCAGTCCTGCACTAGAGGTAAGAGGATGTGAACATTTCATTCTTTTATCCCCAGACTCTACTAACCGCGACTCTCTCGACATGATTGAACGGTGCATATGCCTGGTGTGCCTGGACAGCCCAAGCGGGGTGGAGCTCAATGATACAAACATGGCACTGCAACTGCTACACGGAGGAGGCTACCATAAAAACGGGGCCAATCGTTGGTATGACAAACCTATGCAGGTAAAATTTTGATTGTCATATTTGAAAGTGCCATACTGTTATTTTCACATTTTGCAATAGACCCAGGTTGAAGCAATGTATTCATCTCCAGCTGTCAACAATGTTGACACCTCATGAAAAATTGAAAAAAACCCTTACTGATGCATTGCTTGTGCAATGCTTGTTGCTCTTGCCATATCTAAAAACAGCAACATGAAAAGAGAAACCACTAAATTAGTTTCACTTGCATAGACTTAACCCAGTGCAAATACATTTCAGTAGTCATTCCTGATTTATGCCACTGCATATTATTTTATTAGCAGACTCCAGTGTTGTGTTTTTAAAGAAGAAACTATTTGTCTTTAGTTAGAATCCTCTGTTATTTGCAGGGCCACTAGTTGAGATGCTTCAAGCAGATAGGAATAAAAAAGATTTTCTTTTTCTTTACTATCAGAAGGTAGCAAGAAAGCAAATACTTTTGCATAGTATAAGGGAAAGCTTCATCTGTCCAGATGTATTCAGGCCAGAAGTAGTTCAAAGGCAAAGAGAAGTTCTTAGGGAAAAAAGATCCCATTTTATTTCATGCAAATGCAGATTAAGTAGGAAGTCATTCTCACAGTTGGACTTGTTTTTTCTCTCCATATACTTCTTCAACTATGCAGTAAAGCATCAGAAAACGTCCAGGTAAACTTTTTGCATCACACACTTACTCTGTGAAAACATTATGGGAACCAGAGAGGCAGGATGCATATGCGTGATACAAATGTGCAGAGTGAGCTGAGTGGGAGAAGTCCAGCCAAAGAGACTTCAAAAGAAGTGGAGGAAAAAGTCCGGAAAACATGTGAGACAAGTTGCAGCTTGGTCCTAGGCATCTTTTTGTTTGAGATGCAGAAGTAACCAGCTACATGGGGTATCACAGAACTACAGTGCAGCAGGTTAAGTGTCACCAGTTATACCATATGTATGCAATGAAATCAGGAATGAAGACAAGAGGGAAATGAAGGAAATGCTGCAAAAAAAGGTAAAGAGGAAGCAGGACAGTAAAACAAGCTATGAGAAAGATATTAAATAAGGATGAACTTGCTCTTTTGATATGATATTTATAACAAAATGTGATCATAAGGGGCTTCCTAGATACAGAATTTTCATTGCCCCCAAATGTGGAAGGAGATTAGGCTATCTTTCCAGTGACAGGTTTTTTTCTACCATGAAGCAGATGCTAAATCCAATTTCCAGAATCTAATGGGAAATGCTAAAATTTACATTCTTGCGGCACTCAGTCCAAAATAGCAGCATGAAAGGGATCCAATGCAATGCCATTCACAGGACAAGAAACTCTCCCACAATAAATCTCTAAGTCACCCACTGATCTTTAAGTCAAGGAAGTTCCTGATGTGACCAGTAAGAAAACCACAGGAGAATAACAACTTTTGTTGCCATCATGGGTAACTTACCCAGAACATGATTTATTTACTATATATCTTGCACTTGTTCTTTTCCTTGCTTAGTTTGTTGTAGGAAGAGACGGAGTCTGCGGTACTGTGTGTGAACATTCCCCCTTTGATGGTATCGTACTGGTGCAGTGCACTGAACATTTGCTCAAGCACATGTGAGTCCCCTTTCAGTATAGCTATTGTACTCTGGCCTCTGGGAAGCGTCTGCCAGTGGCAAATTCCCCCTGGTGCACAGGGCCACTAAGACACATGTAACTGTTGGAAACTAGTCATTTACCTGCTAAAAAAGCAGCGTTTAACAAATAGATTATTCCTGTGATCTTAATGACTTTTCTCTCACATACTAACAGGAAAGAAAGCTCCAAGAAATTAGTCCGAGCTGATTCAGTGAGCGAGCTTCCTGCTCCACGGAGATTAAGATGGAAATGTTCCCCTGAAATTCAGGCACATTTGGCATCATCAGCAGAAAAACTCCAAAGGTAGAACAGGTTCCTCATTTTTCTCAGCAATGACTGCAAGCTGGGAACTGCCCAGCACATTGTATACAGGCATGGGTTTCCTCCTAGAGGGCTCTTCCTGACCTCCCACTCCTCCTCATCTTCCCAAGCTTAGGCATACCTAGCATCTCAACATCTTTGCAGGATGGCACCCTTATGGGCTGGAGCTACTTCACTGTATTCAGGAATTGCATTACCATTGTTTTCCTTCCATGTAAATATTAGGAAAGATAAAAACCACTGGAAAAACAGTAGAGTCCTATTTGCACAGGATGCAAACAGTGCAGGTCCTCTGGTTTTATGGATGCACTTTATGGGTTCGACCTGACTAAAGCCGAAGCCAGGGCAATGGTGATACATATACGGGACAGTGGAATACAACTGGTTTGAATAAACAATTTGAATTCAGGAATGTAATTTGTTTACATCCATGTTGCTCCTACAAAGGTTAGTTCTTCTGACTGTGTTTCCAGACTGTAAAAGGTTTGCATGATCTTTGGGGGTTGGGATGGCACTGAGAGGTTTTTTGTTTCAAGTTATTTCATCTCAACAATCAGGCTTGGGACCTCTCTGTCGAGAATTAACACATTGTCTGCATGATCAGCTGTAAGTATGTCCAGTGTGATTGCATTAGATGAGACCTCAAAGTAGCTAGAAGCATACACAAGAGTGTGAAAACATTCAGGATGTAGAGTAATTCCTTTTTGTTTTTAAATAAAGGTAGTAGTCCTCTAAATTGAAACTTGCAAGGAGCTTACAGCCTTCGTCAGGATTTAAATCCACCTATTTCTCACACTAGTAAATCTTATAGCAATTTGAGAACAAAGGAGGCCCTGGCTTAGGCTTCAGGAGTTTGGTGGTTTGATATTGTGGTTTTGTGTGTTTTTGGTTTTGTTTGGTTTGGTTTTTTTTTTTTTGGGGGGGGTGGGGTGGTGTTTGAGTTTTGTTTGGGTTTTTTTTTTAAAAAAAAAGGTGTTTTACTCAGATGGACAGAATGACCTGAGTGCCACCCATCATCTTAAGGCTGCAGGATAACAAGCCTAGTCTAGAAGCTCTATGAATAAAATTTACTGACTAGGAACAAGTTACCAAAGGCCAGAACTGTCTGCAGAGCAGAAGCCCACTCACCTCTGAGCAGGTACAGGCAGGAAATGATCTCTGGGGTTTATTTGCAAATGGAAATGGAGCATGAGATACTTGCACTTCTCCCTGCAGTAACTGCCTCTGCTTGTTTTCCAGGATAGTAAAAAATTTGGACTTCATCGCCTACAAGTTTGAGAACTATGGAAAGGAATTTATTAAGAAACAAAAGATTAGCCCAGATGCCTACATTCAAGTAGCACTTCAGCTGGCATTTTACAGGTAAGGTTAATTCAAATCATAGCAATAAGGTAGCACAAGAGGAGATTCACAATTTGTTTTTTATAGAGGGTCCGTTTTTCCTCAGCACCCAAACAAATGCCTCCTGTGTGGAAATAAGTGATCTTGCCACATGACTGTAGGTCAGACAGAAATTGCCACCCAGTTCTGAGACAGAGTACTCTTTTCCTTCGCTCCCTTTCCCTCTCCTTACTCTGTCTCATCCCCATGTCCCTGGCATGCCATTCCCAGCTAGTATCCTCCCCACAGCTTGGCACAGAGAAAAGGGTGATGGGATGTGGCAAGGAGCAGCAGACAGCCCTGCCACCCACTGCAGCAGAAGCAGTTAGGGAGTCCAAGCCCCTGGAGCAGAAACACTCCCTTGCCACTGCGGGTAGCTTGGGATGAACCGTGGCAGTAACCCATAGCTCACCACATACGCATCCCGTGTACTGCAGGGAAAAGCATTCACAAGGAAAAATACTACAGCAGCATATCAGATCAGAGTTCCTACACAGGATAGTAACTACCGCTTCTTCCTTCTTCACAGGCATCCCAAGATTTGATAATATCCTCTGATTTCCATAGTATTATCAAAGTTAAAAGCTTCTTTCTACATTGTCAGAACAGCTAATGCTCCAGGCTAGAGATTGGTTGCATGGTTTCCTGCAGAACAGCCCATTACACAAATAATTCTTTATCATGTCAAATTAAATCCTGAAGTGGTCTTTACCTAGTCAAAACCAGAGATGCCTAACACATTTTGTGTACTCCATTAACATCTGATAAACATCCATTTTGTGTACTCCATTAACCAAACTCCAACAATGACCTGGTCTGAGATTTTCATCTGGATCCCAGACATGATATAAATCCCATGTACACGACAAAAACCTTAAGGGACAGTTATGTTCAGAGACCCACACTTCAACTGGTCTCCTGAAGTGAGGAATACTAGCTGTATACCTGGACTCAAATTAAACAATACTCTTCACACTCTGTTCTGTTTGCTATGTGGGTTTTCATTCCAGCTCACAGTCTCAAATAGCACCCTTTTCCCCTTTTAATTTTCTATTCTTCATTCTCACACAGAGTGCATTTTTTCTCATTTTAAATAAAACATATTTCAAGCCCATAAGTAAATGATTAATTACACAATTATTTTATTATGCAGTACAAATAAAACATTTCTTGAGCTCTTTCAGTAAATTTTAGTTTTACTAGCCTTGTTTTTACATAGCAAGTCATTTTTTATCGTCAATGCATAACTAGAATGTATACAGCTGTATGCAGCTCCTTATATTAGAAAGGAGTAAGCATCCATCTTTTTTAAGTTTCTTACAGAATTCTATCCACATTAAGATGAAAACTATGCAAAAAATAAAATCATAGCTGTAACAATAAAACATACCAAGCCTATATTTCTTTTAGTCTTTATGACTCCTTGAAAATAATTATTCTCTGTCTTTCTCTATTTCATTCTCCCAGATGCCACAGGAGACTTGTCCCTACCTATGAAAGTGCTTCCATACGCCGATTTGATGAGGGCAGAGTCGACAACATCAGGTCTGCTACCTCGGAAGCATTTGCTTTTGTAAAAGCAATGACTGATAACAAGACAGCTCTATTGGTATGTTGGTCTTGCCCCCTCTGCCTTCTTTGGCAAAACACTAAGCAAATAATGCATTCATGATCCCCAGTCTCTCACTTTTTAACTGTTAATTGAGAACATAAAGGCCTAGGGCAGGGTAGCAAGCCCTACAGGATTTTGCTCTTTGTGCAAACCAACCATTAAGCTAAATATAAATATTTTCTTATTTTTATTCAAGCATCCAAAAGATCCAGAGGCACCTAAACATGACATTATAAGAAAAAAAACATTGGATTTTAGACTTAGCACTGTCTTCTGCATGATTTGTCATCAGATCCAAATTCTGCTCCCTGGAGAGATCTAGTCTGAGCATGCAAAGTTCAGGATCATTATACTGCCACACCAAGGGAGTTGCCTGGCAGTTCCCCTGCAGTAGATAGCTCTGCTGCAGATTGCAGTGTGTGAAGTGGTATAATTCACATGCTTTGATTTCTGCATAAGGTGGATAAATTCTGGCTGATCTTTTTGTTTTCAAAGGCATGTTTCTCCCAAACAGGGTTAGTTTTATAGGATCCTCAAGGGGGCTGAACTTTCATGGTGAAAAAACTTCACCAAGCTAATAAAACAATTCTCCAAACTGTCCTGACATCATCCTGCAAAAAGAAAAATTAAATTGCCTTGCTTTGAGACACCACCATCTGTTTGCCAGAAGCACAAGTACTGTGCATAGTAGATGGGGATGAAAAGAGGCACAGCTGAGAGAGCTGTGACTATCGCTGCACAAACAGCTTTGCACACTGTCCTGCCCGCCATCCCTGGAGAGCCTCCCTCAACATCTCTTTGTGTGCCGCTTCCACCCACTGCACTTCGCTGCTGTACAGGGAATTTCCAGGTGGCCTTTTAGATGCAAAACTCTGCCACAATATAGATTATTTTGCACAGTAAGCCCACTCCAGTGGCAACAGCCCACATGGCTGTTCTTTAGAATCTAGCATAGCTTTGCTAGAAGTATTGCTGGGCTGTAGATTGAATGTAAACTGATGAAATATTGTTAACCAAGCTTTACTGCCCCAGAGGATGATGAAAATTTGCCCAGAGAAGTGCTTTGTTCCTTCACTGCTCCTTCAATTCTCCTTAAGGTTACCATGCCCAGAACTTAGCTCATGATGAACAAGACTCAAATAAGTTCCATGTTAAAATAATAACTCAAAGGAAACCTGAAGTAATTCCCTACACTGAGTGGGTAATTAAAGGCAGATTATGACCATACTATTACACATAATAGTGACTACCATACAGCAGTCAAGAAGAGTCTGTTGTTATTTGTTATCAGCATCCTGTCTGACAACACAGTTCTTAATCATTGTTTCATTAGAAGCTGCTGTCATCTGTTCACACCTTCCCCTCCAGACTTGGGCACTCAGCCCCAACACACATTGCTGCAGGCTGACTGTACTCTGAGGGGGAGCCAGCCTGTTCCTACTACATTGCTTTGCCAGATCCTTCTTTCTCCCTCCAACAATATCTTCCCACCTTCCTTATTCAACAGTTACTGACTTCTGCAGCTCTCGCAAAGCTTCAGCATTTCTCACTGTTTTACCACCCAAATCTGAGATTATGCCCACCTTTCACAGCATCCTAAACTGTACTGCTTCACCTGAGCAAGCAGAAGAATGCCATGCATGACCAGAGTGAGCTCAGCCTCAGTCCCCAAAACTGTATATTGCATGCCTTGGCAGTACTGAATAGGGACAATAATGGTTTTGTTCCCCCTGCAAAACCTGCAATCATAATGCAAATCAACCCACTGAGTTTTCCTGGCTTCTTGTCCACTGAGAGATGCAAAGGATATTTAAACTGATCTATGATTGTTCTGTCCCACAGACTTTTAGAAATACTTGTTTTGATGTGAACATCTTTATCTTTCAACTCAAAACTGTATCTATTATTATCACAGAATCATTAGAAACAAAATTCACGTAACACAACCCTATTCCAAGATGATTTCTTTAGGCCTACAGATTGCCTTGGAATATGAAGGGGTTAATTCTATTTTTTGGACAAAGAGATGCATGACTTGGTTTAAGTAGCCTTGAACTCCCCGAAATATTATTTGTTAACTGTTGTTAAGCCAAATCAAATTAAAACCAATTTTGTATCTGATGCTAATAAAAATTATCTTCAAAATATAGTTTGAACAGTCACCAAAGATTGATTGAGTCAGATGGATTCTCTAGCAGGAGAAATAACTCATGCATTTGACACCTGCTATAAAAGAAGTAGCAACTGACACTGCAGAGATTGCCTGAATAGCTGTAAATTAATCAGATTTAAAGACCGTATTTGGTAATTTAATCTGTGTAAGGGAACTAAGGCCTAGCTCTAGCCCTATGAAAAAATATCAGACTCTGTACTTTGAAGGTCCCTGATGGTGGCCTTGAATTGCTTCTGAAATGAATTCTTTGTTCAAAAGATTATTCATTGTCCATAGGAGCTGAAGGTTCCCTGTTTATCTGGAGACTCAGTCATTTCTGGCTGTTTCAGGGTCTCCCAAAGTTGCAGTGTTGGACTTGATGTACAGCAGGGCAGCACTTCTTAGGATAGCTCCCTTAATATAAAAAGCTGCCATTTGACAGGAGTCAAAATTTACTAGCTTGTAATCTGAAATGTGAGGCATCTGTGGAGGGTAGAGCAGTCTTGGAAAATTCTAGATGCCCTTTCACACAGGGGAGAAATTTTTTGACTGGCTAGTAAAATATCAGTAATGGGTTTCATTAGTATCACTGTCATTGTCTAGATAAACCATTCTGGAGAAGGTATACTGCCTGGCTGTTTTGAAAACACTGAATTACACTAGGCAATTATTTTCCCTACTTCAAACAGAGTGATTCAATTAGTAATAGTCTATCTACGTGCCCCAAATCCATGGAATGAATCCATGAAAGGCACTGCAAGTCTTTCCTTGACTTCAAACAAACCACCACCAATAAACCCGTTCAACCCTTGCACAGCCACGCACCATTGCTGATCAGGACATTGAATCCCTGTGGCTTTTCATTTATAAAGAGTACTTGCACCTGAGCCAGGAGCAAAGGACATTTGAGAGTGCTTGCTGTTTGGCTGCTGGTTTCTCTGAGAGTTTATTCAATGACACATAAATTTTCATACCCCCAACAGGATTCTGAGAAGATGCAGAGATTTAAGGATGCAATTGCAGCTCAGACTAATTACACTGTTCTGGTAAGTAAAATACTGCTTTGTCAGAATAAGAACTAGTTAAGTTTTTTCAAGAGAAGTGCGAAGATACAATCATTAACTATTTAAGCACCAGAAAACCTAGGCATCTCTAAATCAGAAAGTATCTACTATGTCACACTAACAAAAATTTCTCATGACCCAAACGTCCTCCAAATAGCCATATTCGACTAATCTCACCTTAAGAAAAACCTCCAGGAAAGCAAGATAACAAAATCCTGCATTAGACTTCAGTGGCAAGACCATTACTCTTGGGCATTAGCTCTCTTACCTAGAACTGTCATGGAACATGATATTCTGCATTCAACACATTGACAGGGAATATGTGTCTGTGAAACATTTATGGTTTGTATCTGTGTCATAATTACGAGTCTCAGCCACAAATTAGGATTTCACTAAGCTTGGTGTTGTACAAATTAATGATTCAAAAATGGCCTCCACCTTAAAGACCTTGCAATCTAAATTTAATAAAGGGATTTTTTATAAATGTTGAAAGGTTTGCAATAGAGAACAGTAGCCAGATGAAATAAGCCTTTATTCTGTGCACCCTGTGATCAACATAAAGATCACCAAGAAAAGTGGCAATGGGATATTCTAATAGGGGCAAGTGGACAGCTGAGAGCCTTATCAGGATGAGAAGTAAGCAAGTCTTAAAAGCAACCAAATTAACTGCCGTTAGCATGCATGAGAAATAAAACACCAACGGCAAACCCCAGATCCCCCAAATATACAGGTGTTTAGACCCATAAGCTATACCATTACAGATAAGCTCAAGACAGCTGTAAGACATCAGGAACTTCCCCCAAACCCCCACCTAAAACTAACCATTTATGCATTTTCTTATGTTTCTCTTCCCTGGTGGAGAGAGGTCCCTATCTGGAACCTGATCCTCAGACGGACTGGAATTCTGGAAAGTGTATTCTGGTATTCCAAAGTGCCATTTCTAATAAAGGTCATTAACAGTGAAGGAATGATTACAGTAAGTTCTCTTTTAAAGACCTGAATGCAGTGTCTCATAAAAAGTAGTGATGCCCTCCAGTGAAGAAATCAGCTCATTATCAAATACAACTCATTTTCTGTTGATCAAAAATGAGACAATTCAGGCTGGGTAATGCTCTACATCCCACCATGCCAAGGCAAAGCACAGACTTACTCTACAAACAACTTAGTCAAACCACTCATGAAATTAATAAATGTTAATAACCAGCTATGTTAAATGAATTTGCTACCTGTGGTTTTCCCTCAGACCGCTGCTTAACAATGTTTAGATATTCATAATAGTCAAAATATCATTCACTTCGAGAGGTGGTTTTAAAGGTATACTCAGAGCACTGGAGAGGTGAAGTGTTGCTTTCAGGCAGGATTTGTTCCTAAGACTGTGAAACAAAAGAAACAGGGAAGAAAAACATTTTTATGTTTCAAGCCTTGTGCTGGGAACCCGCATCTTAGAAGCTGAGACTCCACATCATCTCTAAAGCAGAGGCAACTGCCTCGCCTGAACCATCTCAGGGTAACCTCACTATGAACACAACATGCTGTAGGTCTAGTAGGTCACAACCAATGGAATTTCTGTACAACAACTCTTAGGAAAAAAAAAAAAAAAGGAAAAATTTCCATAAAATCCACCCTCCAGGTCATTTCAGAAACTGTTATAAAATTCAGCCTCCAATGTAGCTCATGGGAAAATATTAAAATTGCTATTGGAAAATTCATTTATCTTTAAATTTAAAAAGGTCTCCAGGTATTTCTACTCACCAAGGTCCCTTTTCTTTCTCAGAATATCAGAGTGTGACTGTTATGCCTTTAAACCATGGGCAAGACTATGGTCTGACTAAATTGTGTGTAACAGACTGAAATGTAATCGTGCCTAAGAAAAACAAAAAAAATCTACTTCATAAAACAAAAAGCAATTTAATGATTTTATTTCCCCTTGTTAGGGCTTACTAGTAGCATTGCTATCTTAAATGTGGAGCTCTAAAATTCAATTTAGCACAGATTTTTCCTATGCATTGACTCACAGCTTATTTCGTTAGCCTGTCTCGGCCTCTCTTCAGACATGACATTGATCTATGTAGCAAAAAATGTCATTGCTAACAGCCTTATAAATCTTGTGTGATAGCAAAATATTTCCTTTGATTATCAAGTCAGTTTCCCTCAATGGGAAAAACAATGTAAACACTACCATGATGTATGCTACGTTTTTGCAAGCATCCTTGCTCCATCTGGGTTGATGAATAGCCCCTTTACCAATGCGTGCCTACTCCTTAATAAGCCAAACAAGATTATGCACTCCTGCCCCCCTGCTTCAGGCACTTATTAGTGGTTAAAATAATTATCCTCTTAAAAGGAAAATCAAACTTGTGTTTTTATTTTTATTTTTTTTAATTCTCCCCTTAAGAGGAAAACCAAGCTTTTGCTCTTTCTTAAGTCCTGCCTTCTCTGAGGTTGCTTGTTTCCCTCATTACAAGGGGCCTGTGCCACAGGGATTTCAGTTCTGCTGTCAGTGTAGTACAATGTCCCTTGTTCAGCGTTCCCTTCCTACATGACTTCAGCCTGTTACTGGGGATAAGCTACAGCTCAGTCCTCATAATCAATGCTCTCACCAGCTAGAATAAATCTAGACTGAAGGATTTCAAATGCACATTTTAATCTGAGGCAATTCCTGCCTGGTTGGAATAAATTTTGATTTGGTTTCCTAAAGAAACAGAACTGTGTAACTACCCTTTCTGCCCATCTCCCACTACTGACTTTTGATCCTGTTATCCATCTTCAATCACATTTGCTAGCAGGGCAAAAATCTTAAAGCTAATAAATTCCTTAAGCCTATAGCATTAGGGAGCTTGATTGAGTAGAGAGACCCAAGCATAGCAAACTCATGGCAGAAAGATTTACTGCAGGCTCAGCAGTAGTTGTTGCCGGCTGGCGAGCTGGCCACCAGTGTGTCTCTGCTGCTAATATTCAGCCCCTGCACATGCTGCTGATCACCTCACCTGTAACCATGAGAAAGGAGAGGAAACCTGGGACATTCAGGAGCAGGGTTTGGGAGCAAGCCTGGCTAGTTCTGCACTGGGGATGATGTTGAGCAGAAACACAGGCGAGCAGGATGGCAAGTAGACTGCTCTAGGTCTCTTGCTTGTCAAGCACATTATTCTCCTTTGTTAAACCCTGTTTAATTTGATTCTAGACTCACGGTACCTGGATTTTGATACCATCCAACTACGCTGTCCTACACTTACTGTTTTCAATTGTCTCAGAGCGAGGGCTAAAGTACTGGCTGCCCCTGAGATAATTCAGCTCTGCAATGAAGCCAGCACAGGGAATGGGGGAGGGAATTGGGATATTTGGGCAGTGAATTAAATTGAGAAGGCATCTGTGTCCCTAACCCCAGTCTTCTCAAGTGGGGTATGCTAGTCGATCTGTGATAGATCACTGTTACTCTGTGATCAGTGTTAAATCTATTGCAGACATCTACCAGATCTTTGGATCCAAATTCTATGGAATGACACATGCTTTACCCGGCAAAGTGAGACACAGGCAGCAAGGCAATGAAAGATTAATTTGTTCCAATTTGGAGGTGTTTTGGACCCTCATATCTTGAAATATTATCCAAGTGACGCACAGGACATTCCAAACACGCTTAGAGATTTCTGGTATCCTCATATGCTCCCCTCAGCAGCTTTGGAAGCCCGGTCCATGATATTCAGCTCCGAGAGATGAGGAACACCCAAGAATGCCAGATAACATCAGCACATAATACATCTCAAGACCATCTCCTTCCTAATTTTTACATCTCAAAGCACCATATGAATTTCTAGTTACTGATTATCAGCAACGTACATATGCAGAGTAATATCTGAACATTACAGGCATTACATCACGTAAACTGAGTCCATCAACTCTGACCAGAAAACATGGCAGTAACAGCCAAGAAAATGTATCCACACTCATTAAATGCTGGTGTCTTATCATGTTGTACACAGGCTATAACTGGAATGGCAATAGATAATCATCTGCTAGGGCTCAGAGAGGTGGCACGGGAACACTTCAAGGAACTGCCAGAGATATTTACAGATGAGACATATTTGACAAGCAATCGATTCATCCTCTCGACCAGCCAGGTGAGTTTCTCCCTTTCACTGGTCTTGCTAAGCAAAGGCTAGTTTGTGTTCTGCCAGACCTTGTTGTAGCTCATAGTGAGAACAATGTGGAAAAAAAAAAAAAAAAAAAAAAAAAAAAAGGAAAAAAATACTATCAAGAACTGTCAAAAAATCTGCAAAATGCTCCAGATTTTTAACCCAGTTTTGCTTCATTCTGCAAAACCAGCACAGTAAATACTAACTGAAGTTATCACTTCCCTTGCAACATCCCAAAGCCCTTCCCAGAAATTCTGGAAATGCACACAAACTTAGCAAAATTCACATGAGGTCTCAGTGTTTCCTCACTTTCCAAACTACTTACCTTCCCGTTCCCTTTCTTATCCTCCTTCCCCTAAGGTGACAGCTCTAGTGGGAATTCTTTACTCCAGTGACAGTACACCCACAAGCCAGACAGGCTGCCACTCTGAGAAACAAAGGCCAAGAGCCATGAGGAGATTTTACTCTTAAAAGTAGCTGCATTTGAAATCTCCAAGAGTCTTCAGTTATTCAGAGTAAGATTGGAACCTGTGCAGGCATGCATCTCAGATTTACAGACATTTTAGACATTGACAGACACTTACAGATTTACAGGTACATGCCACTATACTAAGATAGCCTGAGTCAATAATTCCTACGTTTAATATTCTGAATAAGGAAACACCTTTCTAGCACACAGCCTAAAAATTAAATGTTTCCTTGCATGTAGTAGCAGTCCTAATGAAAGAAGAAGTCTATGTAGGAATTCATTTACTGAAACATTAACCCAACTGCACAGATTGGAACTATGCAACAAAAGAGACTTACAATATCATGCTACAGCATAAAACCTTAATAAGTAATTTGATCTTGTCATAACGTTTGTAGGCTTTCAAACATGAGTGAATGTAACCAACATACTACTACATAAATTCTCCAAGAAACTGCCCATGAGCAAAGAGTGCTTCTGAATAGCTTTATGGCCTTCGGCTGGTGCACAGCAAATTTATCTGACAATTCTATGGCTCTATTAGCAGGACTAATGGCTTGTTCTACACCATTAAAAAGCCAAATGTCATTTGTGAAGGCCCATGTACACAAAATCTGAAACATAAAGATTTCTTTTATTTTCTGTGGGAGAAGGTGTTTCACTCTTGTATTATGCCATGATTAAACTGAGGTGTAATAGAAATATAGCACCTAGAGCATTAAAATATGTTTGAAAGCATCACAATTATAAATTATTATTAGAAATGAACAATTACAATACAATACTTTCTGTAATTGATTACAATCTTCACATTACAAGTTTAACATAAACTTAAGAAATGAAAACCTTAAAGAAGTTTTATGTATCAGAATTATACACAGCCTTAAAAATTCCCTATCTATCAGTTTCAAAGCTTATAGCTGTTAAAGGTCTATATAAAGTGAGAAAAAAAATGTATTCTATCCACTGCAAATAATAGCACTTCTCAAACGGTGACAAACAGAACAAACAAATCTATACTGAGATCAGCTTTCACCCTCCAAGTGTCAGCTCCAGGGCTGGACTTCTGAAGGAAGTGATATTCTACAAGGGAGATTCACCATATTTCCAGCACTGGTAGCACTTGTTTATCTTTTTCCTCATTCCTAACCAGCTGATTTCAGGTGCCCTGATAGCATTTGTTTATCTTTTTCCTCATTCCTAACCAGCTGATTTCAGGTGCCCTGATTAATCAAAGGTCACTCCTTCCTTACCTTCTCCCTGCAACCAGGTTCCAACTACTATGGAAATGTTCTGCTGCTATGGGCCTGTGGTGCCCAATGGTTATGGGGTATGTTATAACCCTCAGCCAGAACATCTATTATTCTGCATCTCAAGCTTTAAAGACTGTAAAGAAACCTCCTCAGACGTGTTTGCAAAAGCCGTGGAAGAAAGTCTCCTAGAAATAAGAGATCTGTGCAGCAAATGCAATTCTACTACGGCAAAGCCACTTGCTAAACAAGAAGCAGCCACCCACCTGAAGAGTGACCGCAAACTCTAAGAGGCTGTGGGAATTATTCTCCTGAATCCACCTTATGAAGAAACAATGACATAGTTGTTTAAAGGCAAGGTAGTAGTAGTAATATATTAGTGTAGAACCAAAAATGTCATTTGTTTTACATTGTGGCCAATATTTAAACCCTGTACATACTAAATCTACCATTTCTTGCTTGAGAGTCAGCAAAAAAAGGTTTGGTCTCACTGGCTGAAATGACGGAGGAAGTAATATGAGTATGTGTTGTACTACCATTTATAGCCATAATTACCTTATGCCATTTTATCACCTAAAAAATTGAGTAAGTTTGTATATGACATAAATTAAATACTAAGGCACACCAATTAAGTAATATCCCCTGCAAGTAGTTCTAAAATACTTACATCTATACCAGCAAGATTTGGAGGTAAAAAAAAAAAAGAAATTTCCCCTATTAGGAATGTGGAGAGAAACATTGTGAAGAATAGGCTGATGCCATTAGATCTTGAAAATTTGCATGAAGAGTATTTAATACCATGATGCTATTTACTACATAAGAAAAACAAATTCTTTTTAAGAGTGACTGTTGCATATTTCCACAGAGTTTAGGAAAATCACACTAGTATTTGCATGTTCCCCCAATTCAAAAATGCTGCAGAAATAATTTAGCCTTTATTCTGGTTTGCACTGGCCTCAAGCACAGTCCTGTTCTGAAAGCAGCATATTGGAGGTAAGATCCATGACTGAGAACTGGAAGAATTTTGTCCGTAATGAATTGACTTAATTATTTCTTTCTGTCAGTGAGCAAAATCCAGTCTGGCAGAGAGGCAAAGCACAAAGTGTAAGTGCAATTCAATCCTACTTAAGACCTTTTTTGTTTGCACAGGAGTGGATTTAGTCACTGTGACTAGCAGGAGAGTGTATGCAACCACACAAAATCAAAGAGCAATAACTAACTTGAATGAAGAGGCAAACTTGCAATACAAGGAAGTCTCCAAGCTAGAGCTATAAATACCGGTTTTAGAGAACTGGTATTTATATTAGCTTTGCATCATCCCACTGCAGAGGGATTTATACTTTATATTTTTTAATAGTAGATGTAGCGTATCATATTCTGTAATATACAGTAAATTCAGTCAAGAAAATAATACGGTATCTGGTAATTTCCATATTCTGTGAGCGTTATCCTGAGGGATTTCTCATTATCTCTTTCATTCCCTACAAATCCTTCTAAGGACTGATTTTTCAGTTACTTTCAAGCTGAAGTATGTTGCCTTGCTTAAAGGTGCTCAGTCATCATTGTTAGAATACAACTTACTGACTAAAGACACTTACTAACTCCAGTGCAGATCCCTTGCTCAGCAAGCTGGAGCACAGTTGGAAGTCTGGCCAGAGACTGCTTGCTTGCTTATGGAGAAGTGGAGACATTTTTTCTTCCTTTGTAGACTGAACAATCACATTTGTAAGCACTCTCAAGCCTAAAAGCAGGAGAATAGATTTATAACAATAAACTAGAAGCGCAGATATGTTTCTGTCTAAGAATTCTAGGTACAGATTCAGTAGGTTATATATGTCCGTGCTTATTTTACTGCCTCTTTGGAGTTGCATACATGCAATTAAGCAATCTACTGGATAAAGGCTATCCACAACCCCACATATAAAAGCACAGTGGGCCTGATAATCAATTGGAGCAAGTCAGATATGTTGGAGCAAATCAACTATGATGATTTACAGTGATTGAGAGCCGGGCTCACTTATTTAAAGTCAATACATTAATTTAAAAATATGTGTGTTTGATTACTCCATGAGCTGTGGTTCAAACCAAAGATGAAATCTATTTTTTGATTATATAAATAATATTATGGCATAAAATCTGCCCCAAAGTTAAAATGTGTAAAAAAAAAATAAAAATCAAGAAAACTGTTAGCAAAGCCAAACATTCACTTAATGAATATACTGTTCAAAATACGACTTGACCATACTATATGTCCTGTACTATAATGATGAAAATCACTTTCAAACACTTCCAGTAATGTTGCTTTATTCTGTCTCATGTCACTAAAGGCATTCTGCATTTTTTAACATAAACGTAGCACTACAATCTCAAGATTTTTTTCATAGAATTGTATGTTTAAACTTATAACTATATTTTAAGTGTTTAAAAATGCTGTGAAGAGTTATTTGATTATTTATTAATTTGCTTCTAATGAAATATATAACTCTATTTTTTATTCCTAGTTCTATAGGTACTGATATTTATTTGCAAATATTACTTGTGTTTTCATTTTACTTCTTTGGCTGGAATGTTAACAGTAGCTTAGACACTGTGATCAACACACAGTCACTGAGAATTCAGGCAGAAACTACAACCACACCTGAAGTTTTATACCAATTTATCATTAAGAGCCCCTTACTTCTCTACAGCTGCCCTAACAGGTGTTTTGGATTCTGCAACTCTGGAAAATACCGTATTTTTACTCAAGGAAGAAACCAGTGACCACTCATACTTCCTATTTATTTAGCTAACTATTCCATACTTGTATCTTAGATACTTACTGATCCGGTTTTGGTATTCGGCCTGAGTATCTGAAATGAGCAGCTTCAATGACCTCAGTCCCCCCAGAGGAAGACGTTTGCGTACATGCTTACTCTTAGCCATTACCCGTGCTAAAAGTAGTATCTGCAAAGTACCTGACTTTGTTCAAGAAACTTCAGGTTCAGTTCAGGTATCTTTAAATTGGAGAGTCCTGATTAAACTACAGATGGATGAAATTCACAGCGTAGGGCATTACAAACTTCACGGTTTGCCAGCAGGAGCTTCATAAGGGACTGTGCTGCTTCTCAGTTAGCAGAATCCCCTACACCTATGTGGTGCGATCCCACGCTGCAGCTACATCTATTAAGGATTTCAGGAAATAGGTAGTTTTCTTAGGTACTTATTTAAAAATATTTGTATTATACAAAGTTCTCTTCTGCAGTTTAAAAATACACAATCTGTGCACATGAACTTATGAAAATCTTATGAAGCTTTCAAAATGTTTCCAGCCAGAAAGTTGTAGAATACATTGTTCATTAAAAAAAGGGAGAAAATCTTGATTGACAGACTAAGTGTAATTACATTAATGTAACAAGTGGCAATGATTTAATGAGACCCCTTGGTGGGACCCGGGACACACAAACCCCCTGCAAGAGAATTTTAAGGCGGCAATTGCTTTGCTCTCTCCATAGGTGTACGCCCATGTACACACAGTACTGGGATGTAGAAATTAAAAAGCCGATTTTTGTGAACTTCTGTTATTCACAGTGAACAAAAGCAAAAGAAGCTTGGCTTCAAAGCAGTGGTGGTTTAAGGGTGTAAGACCTGACCTTACTCTTCTGAGGGCTGGCAAAGCCCCTGTGCCATCTGTAGTTGAGCAGGGCAGGGTTGGGACAACACAGCTGAACTTCTGGCCTATGAGTTGCGGAAGATGTAAAAATATTTTAATAATACTTTTATTTTTATAATATAGTTTAGATTTATGACAAATGTAAATGTGTGTTTATAGCTCATTTTGTTTCTGTTACGCTTTGTGCTCTATTGAGATCTATTTATCTATGTTAACACACGTGACCTGAAGTGTACGCTGGTACCGCCAGCTCAGCTCACGCAGAGACGGAGCTCCACACCGCAAATAAACGCTACCAGAGGAAAGACCTTGTCGCCTTT